GGTTCGGTCCTCGCAGTCAAAGTCGCCATCACAGCGCCACAGCTTGAGGGCACAGTGTCCGTTTCCACAGGGGAACTCGTTGGGCTCACAGGGCGGGGTGGGGCCTGGGTGGAACCGGCAGGGGTCAGCAGCCCCCTCCCCGACCAGCTTCCCCTTCCCCACACCCCACCTGCGCCCCTGCCCTGCGCACCACAGTCCAGCTCATCACTGCCGTCCTTGCAGTCCTCCTGCCCGTCACAGAGGTAGTCTTTGGGGATGCAGTGCCCGCTGCGGCACGCGGCTTCCTGGGGCCCACAGGGGATAGGCCTGCCTACACCCGGAAGCAGGGGCTGGGAGGCGGGGGTGTGAGGTGGCTGCCGCATGGTGGTTGCGTCTGGCCGGGGTGGCAAAGATGGTGTCTCCACCAGGACAGGTGTTGTGGGGCTAAGCTCCGGGACTGGCTCCTCTGTGGACAGAATCCGCTTGGTGTTTGGCAGAGAGGGTAGCTCCTCACCCCTGCCCCACACACTCCCAGGCCCTCTTTGTATCACCAAGACCACACCCTGGCCCCCAGCCCTGACTCTGTCACCCCCCTTCCCACGCCCCTGCCCTCTGCCTGCACCGAACACTCAGCCCCTGACAGACCCTGAGACCCTGGCATAGGCCACTAAGCCTTCCCTGGGTCCACAGACCACTTGTGCCCCTGGAGAGCCCCTCACCGCAGTTGAGCTCGTCAGACATGTCCCTGCAGTCGGGCCGCCGGTCACAACGATACTCCAGGGCCACACACTCATTGTGGCTATGGCAGGCAAACTCGGCCTCGGTGCAGACCCTTGGGATCTGGGGCACTGGAGGGTTGGAGGGAGCAGGGAGTCAGAAGTGGCAGGTGGTAGGAGATGCCAGGAGCTGTGATGGACAGCTCAGGCACCACACAGCTGGGGTGGCTCTGGTGTTTGGTGTCAGGCCACTTGGTTCCAGCAGCCATGCGAGGGCAAGGAGCACATGGCAGACACATAGCCACAGCACGCATGGGACACAGGACATATGGCGGTGGCCTCCCCATCCTTTCACAGACCCCACACGCAGTTGACATGCCACACGCAATGCACCACATGCCACACACATGCAGACCACAGCCTGGCCCAGCAAGGACAAAGGAGGAGGGGAGAGGTTGGCCAGTGCCTGGCCGTCTTGCTCTCGCCCTTCTTTCTCCTCCTCCGTGAACTTCTCTGAAAACCCAGCTGGGCCTGGGCCTGGCTTACACTCTCACCTGGTGTCACTGCGACCGCCACAGCGGCCGGGGGGGGCGGGGGGGTCTGCGCTGGAAGGGAAGTTACGGTCAGCAGCCGTCCCAACCGAGACCTGGGAACTCAGGGCTGGAGGCTGAGCCAGGTCATCCCACCCTCCCTAGTCAGGAGACTCATTGCAAAGTGGGAGAAGAGGCTGGACCCCCAGCAATCTTGAGACCTGGACCTGGGGATGCCAGGGGAGCAAGCTCGATCTGTGGGTGCATTAATTGAGGCTTTATGCACAGAACAAGGGAGGTAATGGCTTCACTATTTTTCCCTGATCTAGCTACACCATGGCAGGGATGGAGTTTGTTCCATGCCAAGTTCTACGGAGCCAGGGTCTTCCCAGAGAGAGGAACTGAGACGGAGGCAGGGCGAGAACCACAGCCTGTGAGGAAAGAACTAGAACTGTTTGGGCCTGAGAGGAAAAGACTCGGGGGCTCAAAATAGGGGACAGAAGGTTCATAGGGAAATATGGGCCAGTGCCAAGCACAAAAGGCAGGCTCCAGTCCCCATGGCTGCGTGACTTTGGGCCAGTTTCCTACTCTCTCTGAACCTCAGTTTCCCATCTTTCTCTTTTTCTTTTTTTTTTGTTGTTTTTGTTTTTGTTTTTTTGAGTTGGGGTCTGGCTCTGTCACCCAGGCTTGAGTGCCACAGCACAATCACATCTCTGCAGCCTCTACTTACCAGGCTCAGGAGATCCTGAATAGCTGAGACTAGAGGCATGCACTACCATGTCTGGATAATTTTTTAATTTTTTGTAGAGATGAGGTCTTGCTATGTTGCCCAGGCTGGTTTCCAACTCCTGGACTCAAGTGATCTTCCCCCTTAGTTTTCCAAAGTACTGGGATTACGGGCATGAGCCACCGCACCCGGCCCTACCCTTTTCTCATCTCATCCAGGTCTGACAAGACTGGCAGAGACACAGGGTTTGGTTTAACTCCTGGATTTCCCACTATCTGCCTGTCTCAAGTTGAACAAATTCAGATTTTCCTTTCCAGGCCTCTGATTCCCTCATCTCTTTAATAAGAGGAATAATATCTACGTCCTAGGAATTGTTGTGCAGACTGAATAGGGGGCTGGATACAAGGGTGCCTTAGTCAGTACTCAGTAAATAATTGTAGGTTATTATTAAATGCAAGTGTGTTTTGGACTTGAAAGTACTGGATAAAGAAAGGAATTCCGACCTGCTGCCAACTACAGAAGCCTACGGAAAGAGCAGAAATTGGGTCTAATGGGTGCCTGTTAGAGGAAGCAGTCTGTGCTCGACCCAAGCCAAGACTGCATAAAGATTGATGGGGTGGACTCAGGAGGTAGCGAGTTCCCTGTTCCTAGTGGCATGCAAGCCTGAGCTAGGAGCCTGTGATGGAGACATTGAAAGGGGACCCACATGAGTCTGAGAAACTGCAGGAGGTGACCCCAGGCTCCAGGATGGCTCACCTGTGCCCAGGCGTCGGAACTGGAATCCCTGGGGAGAGGTGATATAGGAGGCGATGGAGCCACTGGAGACCACCCTGTGTAGCACCTCCTGAATCTGGGCCCCGTCCGCGTTCCCTTCTGAGCCCACATCCAGCTCCACGAAGACCCAGCCGTCTAGCTCCCTAGGGTAGGGGTGGGCAGGGGAGAGAGGGGTGAGAGAGACACCTGTGCTCCCAGTGCCTCCATTAGGCCCGCCCAGTTCTGAGTTTCCACCCATAGAGACTGTCCCACTAGTCTCTCCTGCCTCCCCTCTTGGCATCAGCCTTCTTTCTCATCCTTGGCAGCCCCTATGGGACCCTCCAGCCCCTTGCCAGCCCCCAGGGGACCCTTCTCACTTGATGAACACCACACTGACAACCTGGTCTCCGGGGATTTTCAAGTAATCCGACTCCAGCTGGGTGGTGAGGGAAACACAGCACCATCAGCCCCCGGCCCCACCCCAGTCCTGCCTCAGCATGCCCGGGGGCTTCCCGACCCCCTTGCCTCACCGTGTCTACCACTGCCTCGGACACCTCTCGGAACTCCCTGGAGCCTGCATCCTCCAGCCGAGGGCTGTACTCGATGGAGCGAGTGAAATTCACCAGGGCCCGGAAATAAACTGTAGAAAAGGGAGGGGTGTCACTGTGAGGGGCCCAGTCTGGTATGCGGCAGCCACAGGCAGCTGGACCAATGGTGGAAATGGGGGAATGGCCGTGGGAGGCCTCCCATCTAGGCTGCACCTGTGTGCCCACAGCTACACCCAGCACTGTCTGTAGGGGCACATGCCCAGGAGCCAAAGCCAAGGCCCCAACTTGAGTGAGGGGCTTTAACTAACAGGACAAATGGTCTTATCCAGAAACCAGGTGATGGTGGAGAAGAGGAGACTCCCCCAGTGGTTCAGAGGAATGCTGGTCAGGAAGGGTGGCTCCCAGAGGAAGCCAGTCTGGCATAGGGGCCACCTGCATGTGGCCGGGAGAGGCTCCGCCAGCCTTCCCTGGCCTGTTCCGATATCCCCCAGGACTCAGCTCAGCCATTGCCTCCTCCAGGAAGACTGCCTGAATTGCCCTGGCAGGGCTGAGATGGCTCCTAGGCTCCTCCAGCACCTCTGCTTTCCCCCACAGAGCACCTGCCACCCTGCATTGCATCAACTCTGCCAGTTACACACGCAGAGGTCCTCAAACTTTTAAAACAGGGGGCCAGTTCACTGTCCCTCAGACCGTTGGAGGGGCGGAC